CCTTGGCCGATGTGACATTTCTGTGCTTCAGGGATTTTTTCGACGCAGCATCCAAAAGAACATGGTGTACACGTGCCACCGAGACAAAAACTGCCAGATCAACAAGGTGACCCGCAACCGCTGTCAGTACTGCCGGCTGCAAAAGTGCTTCGAGGTGGGCATGTCCAAAGAAGCGGTGCGTAACGACCGCAACAAGAAGAAGAAAGACGTGAAAGAGGAGGCGGTGCTGCCCGAGAACTACGAGCTGAGCGGCGAGCTCGAGGAACTGGTCAACAAAGTCAGCAAAGCCCACCAGGAGACATTTCCGTCGCTGTGCCAGCTGGGCAAATACACCACAGTGAGTGTTGTGTAACAATGACAAGGCGGCGGCGGGTTTTTTTTTTTCTCCCCCACAGCTGAAGCGAGAATGGGTGGAAAACCAGACCTGAGCTTACCAACCCATTTCGGACACATATTCCTCTTTTGTCTCTTTCCCAGAACTCGAGCTCTGACCACAGAGTCCAGCTGGACTTGGGCCTGTGGGACAAATTCAGTGAGTTGTCCACCAAATGCATCATCAAGATTGTGGAGTTTGCAAAGCGACTACCAGGCTTCACGACGCTCACCATCGCCGACCAGATCACCCTCCTCAAGTCTGCGTGTCTGGACATCCTGGTACAGCCGTCCAAACGCGCACAACGCCGCCTCATTCGCCGCGCGTCTTAAATTCTGATTGCGAAAACATAAAAATAACGTGAACAGCTGCCAGCAAGCCTCCTCCGGTGTTAATGTTTTTCTTCAGATGCTGAGGATATGCACGCGCTACACCCCCGAGCAAGACACCATGACCTTCTCCGATGGGCTGACCCTCAACAGAACCCAGATGCATAACGCCGGCTTCGGCCCGCTCACAGACCTGGTGTTCGCTTTCGCCGGGCAATTGCTGCCCTTGGAGATGGACGACACCGAGACGGGGCTCCTCAGCGCCATCTGCCTCATTTGCGGAGGTACAGCAAGCCCCCCATGTCTCATTTGTCTCTTTTCTACCTCCCTTTGGCGAGATTTTCACGCTGTCCCGCCGCCTCGCCAGATCGCATGGACCTGGAAGAACCCGGGAAGGTGGACAAGCTGCAGGAGCCTCTGCTGGAGGCGCTGAAGATTTACACACGCCGCCGACGCCCTAACAAGCCTCACATGTTCCCGCGCATGCTGATGAAAGTCACCGACCTACGAGGAATTAGCACTAAAGGTCAGCATGCCACCTGCGCGAACCGCATACGCACACAGCCAACCCCGTAACACAATAACCGCTCAAATTGCTTTGACCTTGTTCAAAAGACGCTTGTTTGGGTCGGCATTCACCTGTAAACAAGATGCCAGAAGTGAACAACAGATTTTTGTGCAACTCTATAATTTGGGACCGACGACAATAACACACCTTAAACTTCATTTGACCTTCTCTCAACTTCTGAATGCACGGCCAACTGTTCAATGCTTCAGTACTTTTGCACAACTGTGCCAACATTCATGACTGATGTTTGATCCATGAATCACCCAATACATTCCCAGGTGTGATTGTCACTGGGATTCAAACACATCAGTGGTGGTCAGCCCGGGACACATTTTTTTTTCCCTTTGGTTACAAAGTTGCCACCCACTTTGAAAGACGTTAAGATCAATATCGATGTTTTGTCTAAAAAATATACCGTACTGGCCCGAATATAAGACGTGTTTTTTGCATTAAGACTGAAAAAGTGGGGGTCGTCTTATATTCGGGGTCTAGACGTTATACCCATTCACGACGCTAGATGGCGCCAGATATCATTGAAGCGAATGCTGAACTTGACTCCCCAGGCCAAAGTGAACCCCTGCCACGAAGAATAAAAATAAAAATAGCGTTAGCACGAAGAAGAAAAATAAAAAATAGCGGTAAGAAGGAAAAGAGAAGAAAATAATAGAAGAAATAACAGAAAATGGAGAAACGTAGTGACAATCTGGAGAAAAGTGGGTCGAAGATCGACCAGGTTAACCGGCAGCTGAGAAGTTATGATGTCATTTACATTTCAAAAACCAGAAGCCATTCATTTACGAATGTGATTGCACCTTAGATTTGAAAGAGGCAAAATAACATACTTTTTCTCTCAAATATATTGTTATAATCATTTGTTTCAGATGTACTGTAATTATTTTCTGTATAAAAATGTATTTGGTGTTCAAAAAAGTCTTTTTTCAAACTTGAGTCTTGAAAAAGAGGGGGTTGTCTTATAATCGGGGCCGTCTTATATTCGGGCCAATACGGTACCTCTGACAACCCAAGTATCGTTAATAGACGTTTAAAAATGACATCACGCAGTTCACGTTTTGACATCACGAGACCAAGACGCCGCTTATCAAATGATCTACATCAACGTTGCCCTTGCGAGGCTTGAAACAGGACGATCTTGGTGCCGAGGGACTTTGCTAAAGTGAACTAAAGTGACAAAAGTAGTGCTTTGCTGCCATTTGTGGCATATATATATACGCAATTGTGAAAGTTTGTCGTTGAGCTTAATGCTTTGCTGCCATTTGTGGCATATATATACGCAATTGTGAAAGTTTGTCGTTGAGCGTCGACTACTCACTATTCGCATTGAGTGTCATTCGACCCGTCTGTGCACTCAGGTGCAGAGAGAGCCATCACACTAAAGATGGAGATCCCCGGCCCCATGCCGCCGCTCATCAGGGAGATGCTGGAAAACCCGGACGCCTTCGAGGACAGCAGCGACTCGGCAGAAAGCCCCGCCCCGGCCGCCAACGCCGCCGCCGCGCCTCTCACGGCGCCCGCCGTTCAGACCATCAAGCAGGAAGAGAAGCCAACGTACGAGTCGGCGGTGGAGGAGGAAGAGGAGGACGAGGATGACGACTACTGGGACGAGGACAGGGAGCGGCTGGCGGACAGTGATGCCGAGCCGTGGGGGGAGGCGGCGGCAAGCGCGCACAAGAAAGGCGGGACAACGCAGTAGGACGCTTGCTTCCCTGGCATCCTCATCCTCACACCATCGGGCTCTTATAAAAGAATTGCAAAGTTTACAGGGAGTGAGGGACGAAGCAAAAGCACTCAACAAGCGACTCATTGTGGTCTGCAGTGACAGGAGGGAGGCGGGGGGGACATGAGGAATGTCCCCCTCCTCAGGAAAAGGGCTACGCTTGTATCGAAAACATCTCTTCTTTTTCGTGGGGTTACAAGAAATGCTACTTATACTTTCTTCTTGTATGACGTGTTGTCTCAGCTCTTTGTCCATTTCCTTTACCGTGTATGTGTGCGCGTGCGCGCATCTGTTTTTATGAGCTAAAGTGTCACATCATGGAGAGCAGGGCTCCCAACCTGCGATGGTCTTCCAGGTGTTCAGCATCTTCTCAAAACAAGCTAGGCTGACTTTTATACCATGAGACGAGAATCCAGAATGCCGAGCATTTGTTTGTTTGCTCGCCCGACGATCGCGCTTACCGATTCCTCTGACGGTGACAGGTTTGCCGCAATAGAGGCCTCTGAAATTTGGTCGGTTCACTTGCTGCATACGTTCCGCTGAGTAAAATGTAGCAAAGTCAAAGTTACAGCTTTTAACCGGAGTGAAAAGTTTGAACTGAAGCAAGCCAACCCATTTTTATTATTCCATTCCCTCACCCACAGAGAATCGATCTGGAATCCGCTCAATAAAGGAATCAAAAGTGCCTAAGTCTTATCGATTCCCATCCCTGGACATGAATGTCATACAAATGTAATTCTAAAACAACCCCAATGATTCCTGACCCAAAAGATAAAACCGTTGATGATGTCAGTATGGAAAGCCATTTGAGCCTTTTTTTGATACCCAGTTTAAGGTCCAGGTACTAATACGCTATTTGCTCTCACAAATAGGACAACTTTGGCTTGATCTGGACATTGAAGATACCAAAAATGTGCTCAGACGCCTTTCCATGTCAGTAATAGTACTCAACATTGCATCATGATTGGGTGTTGGGGTAGGGTTTCGGGTTAGGGGTTTAGGGTTTGGGGTTTAGGGTTAGAGGTTAGGGTAAGGGGCTAAGGGGGTTAGGGTTAGTGTTAGGGTAAAGGGGGTTTACGGATTAGGGTTAGGGTTACGCTTTAGGGTTTGAGGGTTAGGGGGCTCGGGGTTAGGGTTTAGGGCTGGGGGTTTGGGTAGGGTTAGCGATGTTTGGGTTAGGGTTGGGGAATTAGGGTTGGCGTAAGGGTTACACTTTAGGGTTAGGAGGATTAGGGGGTTTGGGTTAGGGTCTTAGTGTTGGGGAGTTCGGGAGGGTTTGGGTTTAAGGATTAGGGTTTGAGGGTTAGGGTTAGTGGGTTAGGGGTGGGGTTAGGGGGGTTAGGGTTACACTTTAGGGTTAGCAGAGTTGGGGGTTAGGGGTTGGGGTTAAGCCATAAAGACACGGCAGCAGCCATTTTGAACTTTTCACAATGATAGCAATCCTCAGGTGTGTGTGTTTTTCTTTTTTATTGTATGGAAAAATATGACTTGCATATTTTATTTAGCCCTGTAATCACCTGCATTCAACCTCCATTTAAAAAAAAATTGTTTTACGGCTAACAAGCGGACACGGTGGTCATATTTCTGATGCCAAATATAAATTTTTGATCACATCTTCCCAGTTTGAGCTGTTATGTGATGCTCACATGCAGAGCCTGAATGTACAGAATGTCACCTAAGTATTCAAGTGGAATTTTGTAAAAAGGCTTCATTTTGAATGTCACAAAGAACAAAAGTAGTCCAATGTTTTTTGCACTGTTAAATGTTGTCCACAGCATGTTGCTTTCGAACGGACGAGATCTTCAGCACCAGGATCTTCCAGGGGCAATAAAGTCAGATTTCTTTTGTCTTTTTCCTGAACTTGAGCCAGTGCAATAAAACGAAAGCCACATGCAAAGTTGACGGGGACCTCTGTATGCAAAAAGCATCAATTTCGACAAATCAAAACAACTTTGGCTCATTAAAATTCCATCGCCTTGATGGTTGTGACATTTAGGTGTTGTGTTATGTACGGAGAATATTTAATGTTGACTATTGAAGCTCAAACCATCTCATTACGTCTCTTTTAATAATCCCCGACCTCCTGCGTCATCTCCATGTAAAGAGATTGATACATCTCATGACTGGGCTCATCTGTCTCTTGTTTGTATTAAATTTGTCTATGTAGTTTGCTTCTTTGGTTTGCTTTTTATTTTGGCTGTATTTTTTTCTTTTTTTGTTTTTATAAAATGTGCTTTGTGTTTTCACACCTGTTGGCGTGCAGCTGTATTTATTTTGTCATCGCTTTCAAATACTAAATGTGCATGCGAACCGTGAAAAAAAAAATCATCCAATGAGACAAATGTCAAGTGAGTCACATTTACCAAACACTGATAATGCATTTCATTTCATGACTGCGATTTAAAAGCAGGCATTCCGAATAGAACGGCATCAATATAAGTGCCACCATCAAGCCAGAAGTAGTGTCAAATATCATACTTCAATCCTGACAATAAAACGCGAGCCGTGAATGAAAGCGTCAGTGGCTCAATGACGTTTCAGCTCCATTATAAGTTACACACGAGAGTTCTGCAAACCTTTCTGTCATCATTTTCTCTAGAAATACAATTTTTGAATTGAATATATTGCAGCTGCAAAAACCAAAAAAAAAAAACATCCACATTCATTCTGGAAGCAATCATGCTTGAGGCAGTGACTCCCAACCACTGCTGCGGCACATGGAAATTGTTCAATCAGAAAAATCAATTACAAAACAATTAAATGCTCTTACACAAGATGACAAGATCAAATTAACCGGTGTATAGACCTGTTGCCAATTGACAATTGTTCGCATTAGCAATTATGTTTATTCTGGATACATTATTTTTGTAACGCATTCTTTTGGGGTGGGATGCCGTGAGAATTTTTAAATGTCAATGTAACACCTTGCCTCAATAAAGGTTGGGAATCCCTGCCCTCATCCAGCAACTCCGTCTCAACCTACGAACTTGCAGTTCTTTGCATCACCACATGATGGAGCCAGTCAATTCACTGCAGAGGAAACGATATGAATTAAAGGCTTGAGTACGACAGTGACCAAGTCTGGTCCTCGGATTCAATCAGGTGCATTGGAGGAGGGAAACAATCAAAGCATGCAGGATACTGGCCCTCGAGGACCGGACTTGGCCGCCCGATGTACGTGTTTGTGCATGTGTGTGCGTTCTGTTGAAGTCACCTGAAGACAGGGTCCACAAGTGCCGGGAGCATCACTTGTTTCTTGTCACCTTGCTGGTCACTCTGCTTCGGATTGAGGCAGCAGAACAGGGGAAAAGATGAAAGGGGAGCTCTTCAATCGGCAGCACTCGTAGGTGACGTCACTCTGACGTAGCGATTAGGTCACGTGACACACAAATGTTTACGCTGGAAGAAGTGATTTGGCGAGGTTCGATCCTAGATAATCTTATTTGAGACAAGGCAACTGTGTGTGTGTGTGTGTGTGTGTGTGTGTGTGTGTGTGTGTGTGTGTGTGTGTGTGTGTGTGTGTGTGTGTGTGTAAACTCACTATCACTGTTCTCTCTCCGAAACTCTGCAGTTTCTCATTCCATGTTGTGTCCTCTTGCAGTGGCTCTTCCTTACTTTGCAGCTCAATCCTCAGCTCCTCCACTTTCTGTTGGTCAGCCTACACACGCATACGCAAGCGCCAAGATTATTTCAGTTAACACAAGCTGACAAAAATAACAAAAATTCAAATTTGATCAAAGCTTGTCATTCATTCACGACATTTAAAACAAGACTCTTTTTAAAAAAAATCTTGCACAAGAAATAAATATGCCTTCTTTTGATATTTTTGAAAGCTAAAATCTAATAAAACCTATACAGAAACGGAAGCATTAAAAAAATTAACTAAAATAAAAAAAAAAATTATAATAAAATAAAAAACTGCTCTGAAAACGAACTCACATAAAAAAAAAAGAAATTATGACAAATGCAAAACTATTGTAACCCTGACACACACACACACACACACACACACACACACACACACACACACACACACACACACACACGCACACACACACACACACACACACACCTAC